TATTCCATCTTGACATGATGAGCAGATAAGAAGCCACAGCTTTCGTAAATAAACAGCTGTGGAATCTCTGCAACCCCCCCTTTTCAGCCAATGCCTCAAAAAGCAGTCACAGCAACTTCCACAGAGGTGTGACTTGCCAGCCCCCTCTGTGTGAGGGCAGAGAAAAGCACAGACAACATAGGATTCTCTCTCTTTTCCTGCTCTCTTACCCTTGAAGCTTGGGTCCGCTTCGGCGGGATCTCCGTCAAGATGGAGATCCAAGACCAAGGGGACCCAAATCTCCATCATCAAGGATAGGTCAAAACCAAACTCCTGCAAAACAGACCTTTTGCAACACATTTCTATTGTGTTTCAGAACTTACAAAGCCAGACTGGATTAGAAAGCCTGACTTGATAAGCCACTAAGACAAAGAGGACCTCTACTGTGACCCACTGAGACAGAGAGAGCCTGCCTTGCTGTTAGCTGCCTGCTAAGCTGCTGGATGAACCTCAAGCCTTCCAATGGACATGGACAAAAAGGTTTGCAGGTCTGGCATAATTAGGGACAGAACAGACAATATGTCTTTTGATGATATTGATCATTTCATGTGTTTTTAGAAACATTTTTGAGCTGTTGTTGAAGCTTAGACAAGCTTTATTTCACTAAGGGTTAAACACTGATATAACATTAGTGTTCAGGTGTTCCTCATATGCTCATTGCATTTACCAATTACCAAGTATGACCGAGAGTCATTTAGTGGAATCCTGATGTCTATTTGCTACTAGCCATTTCAAAGAGGGTAAAGAATAATTTGACTAAAGGTTATTAGTTCTTGATTAAGCAATTAATTAATAAAACATTACACTGTATTTGGCCAAATAATGTTTATTCACCTCATTGATTTGCATTGTGAATTGGTCTGAAAACATTTAAATTTCTCTAAATTAGTGAAAAGCTAATTTGATCATATCCCAAATTCTTCCAGATAAACTTTGGTTTTCAAACACAAAATGTACCTTAAACTGTACTATGGTTTTCAACCAGGTTTCCCCTTCCTCTTTATACATAGTAGTGTAGATTAGTTGAGTTTCACTAGTTTTAGTTAAGAGTGTTAAACTAGACGAAATATGTTTGACTTGGAGCTGAAAGATTTTTGATAATAAACGTATATTTTTTTAACAAAAGTTGTGGTGAATTTATTCCATGTATGTGCAGAATTAACTGTTTGTTCATGATTAGTGCTCGAATCACTCTTTCATTTATTGTTCAAACACAAAGCTAGTAGGGTGTGTGTTCATAAACAATAGATAACACCCGAAATTCCCACCCCTCCCAGGTAGGGCAATAAACATCTTAAAGTATCAGGCTGGGAATTGAATAGAACATAAAATCACAACAACGCAAAGATGTGTTTTCTAAAAACTAACTTTAAAAATTAATATTCTAACTATTAGTTTTTTTTTTCTTTCTCCCAAATAATGTTAAAGTGGAACTGTTTCAGTAAATTCATGCTTTTAGAATAATTTTAGTTGTGAAACAGCCAGACAGTGACTAAGAGGAACAAGACAATGAAAGAAAATGCAAATGAAAGAAAGAAATGTCCCATGTTGACACGTTTAGTTGATTTCATTTCCCTTTGTTTAACGCAAAACCACCTTTACAACCTTTTTTTAATTATATGGTATAACTAGCATATGGTGCTTTGAATATTTAGACTTTTAAAGAAAACATCATAGACAATTTGTCTTGTTATTTGATTTTTAAAAACAAACACCTTATTTAGGACTGACCAATTAACAATTTAACTCATTATATAAATGTTTAACAAAATGCGATTAATGTTTCAGTTTGAAAGCTATCTTTAAATTAGAGCTGTCATTCTATACTGTAAGTCAGTTGCTCTAACAGGTGTGGGCAATGTCGCTCCTCAAGTGGCAGTTTGCAGCAGCTTCTGTATGCTTTTGCAAACACACCTTAAACATAAGGCAAAATTACCTCATTGGCATGTCTGTAAGTTTAGCAGAGGTCCGGCCATTAATCGTTCATTTGTTTCAGGTGTGTTGAAGAAGGGATGCGTGCGTTTTCTGAGGAATCCCAAACGCACTGACCACTTCTCTAAAAAAGGTGGCTGTGCTATTTTTGCAGCATACAGCTCTATCCACATCAGTCTAGAACAATGCAAAATGTTCAGGTACTCTGTTGATGAAAAGCATGGAAATAGATGCCGTTGCAGAAGAAGATAACGGGTCTAGAACTGCGGTTCTGAATATGAGGGTGTGAAACTGCGTTTTTCAGGTCTGCAGAGGTATACTTCTCCTGTTGAATAACACACAGGGTGAGGTGGAGAGCTTGATGGGTCTACTTGTCTCCCATCAGCTCAGCCGTCTTGTGTTGGAATTCACCTGATAGCATTCTTGTGCCTTTGGGTAAGGTGGAGGTCTCTCAACGCTGTTTCAGCCTATGGACTGAGCAAGGAAGGGGGTTCCAGGCCATTAAATGCCTCTTTTCCATCTGTAACTGATCTTTTCAGGTAGGGTCAGTTCAATTTGGATTTATTCCTTTTCTTTTTACAATAAAATAGTATCTCAGTGGGGGCGGGATCTTCACTAGCAAGGCAGCCCTGCAGTCAGGAGTAATATAGTTTGCAGATACACCGCAACAACAGCCTGCTCCATTTATGGCTGTTGTCAGCTTCAGAGAGAGAAGAACAGCTTGATAAAGCAACAAGGATATGTAAAGGATAGAGAGAAGCAGTGCAGTATGAAGGATATGAGCTACAGCACATGTAAAGATAAACTAAGGCTTTCTACAGCAGAACTGAATCTATTTAGAGAGAATAAACATTTGGATAACAGTGTGGACAAATGCATAGTTATATATTCATTCCTTTGCCTCAGTAACTGTACATGATTAACACAATGATGACTATTCAGCTGCTCTCCTAGGGTAATCTGTACAGTGTCCCTCTATAGAAACATGAGAGTATACATTTTATATCACTAGAAAAAAACTTTATCAAGTTAAACTGATAATCAAATTACTGATTATTTAAAATATATATAGATATACCCTAAATAATCTGAATTTGTAAAGGTAATTGTATAAAATTGTATACAAAGCATTGCCTGAAATATTTTCCTTCAATTTAAGATGTTGCTAAAGGTGCTGCATGTATAGAGCTCAGAATATTCAAAACTGATGAACATAGAAATCAAGCAAGTCAAGTTCAGGACATTAGCATTAGTCATACATAGTACAAGTGATGAAATGCATTATTGTTAAACTACATGAGGTGGATTATGCCTGTATGTCTTGTCAACCAAAGGAGTACAGCTCCTAGCAGTGGCTAGGAATATCAGGAGGTCACTGGGGAGCATACTCCTTACTGGTCCTAGCTACTTCTTGACTGGTGGTAGTATTTGGACGGCACTTATTATGGTGCTTACTGATGCACTTCTGTGTCATGGCTTCAGTGTCCTTACAGATTTTAAGGGTATTTGCATTGAGACTAAATTGACTCTAACCCTGGTTCTAACCAATATTAAGTTCACTGGGTCAATTGCTATAGTAACTGAGTAAAACTCAGAGCCAGTCACTTTATGAAATCCAAATAATAATAGATTTAGGCAAATAATTCCAGTTTAGGAACAAAGCCAGTTTTATAAAACACCCATCTGGTCATTGCTTTCCCTATAGTCTTTAGCCCCATAGTGTCTATTTGGGCCATGGAACAGACTGGCAAACTGTCCAGGGTGTACCCGACCTTTCACCCATAATCTGCTTTAGACCCATGACACCATGACCCTGACAGATAGGTGGGAGAAGATGGATGGAGTTTTAGTTGAGGTGATTGACATTCAACCTTATTTTCTTGGAACCAAAAGCAACAACCCTTTGCTTCTCTACATCAAAGTGGATCCAGATACTCTCGATAATTAGAGAGGGATCATTCAGATGTTGCATTAATGTGTTTATGCATGATGCATAAACTCCATACTGTTGTTTTGTAAGAAATTCATTAAAAATTCTTGGATCAAAACATTGATATTTTGATAACAAAATCCAAAATTGTAACCAAGCAAAGAATGGTACAATAGATGGCATTTTGAGAAGAGGAGTACTAAGAAACAAATAAACATGAACTGGGAGAATGACTGAGAAAAAAGTACAGTTAAGTTAAATACTAATACAGAGCACATTTAAATACATTAAAAAGGACCACTAAGGACATCTAGAGGAAACAACAAGCACTACAGAAATAGAAAACACCTCAACTGAATAACATTGATATGATTATCTATAAAAACCGCTCAGAAGGTCCAGAAAACACAAAAAGTAAAGCGTAAAAACCTAACTAGAATATAAAGGTATTCTACATTTATGTTATTATAAATAAATAATACAGTTTGGTAAAAAAGGTCATGCAGATTGAAGGCCTAATTTTGAGGAACATTACTGGTACATTTTTTTCTACTCTTCTTTCAAAAACACTGTGGATGTTACCTTTCACTGGATCCTGCATAGCTCACTAGTTCACAGAGACCAACAAACATGCACATACATGCTTCTACGTCATTAACCTAACATACAGTATATGTCTTTGGTATGTGCAAAGAATATAGCACCCAATAAATACCCGCACTTGTAAAGAAGGAACTTTCACTTAGAAAGGAAGGGTCCAAACTGAGATTCAACCACAGAACCTTCTTCCTGTTAGAAAACAGTGCTTCACTCAGCATATAAAATGTGAAGATGCCTCATGTTTTTTTCTTTTTAATTCAAGCCTTGTAAAAATACAGCAAACATCTTTTACATCTGCTTCAGCAAAACAACAACCTTTAGAAGATTTCCTCTACAGTCAAACTGTGGGAAACTGGTTGTTTTTTCTCAGTAACTAAGTAGAAAAGACGTACTACTTAGTGAAGGGGAGGTGTTCCGTCTTAGGCTGAGAAGTGACCACGCTCGCCTCACTTCCTTTTTCATCTTTGCGCCCACGGCTTCTGTTCTCAGGCTGATTACTAACAGGAACCATTTTTAAGTGTTCAGGGTAGTTTACCTGTACAAAGCAGCATCACAGCTGCTGTGAAGACATGAAAGCTGTTGTTGGACTGTTGATGGTCCTTCTTGAAGTATCACATGGTAAGTTCTTTAGGATTAAATTTTTATTTCATCTTCAAAAGTCAGTAACTTTGAAGACAAGTGTTCTTTGTAAAGGAAATCAACAAAGATCTATATCTATGACTGATTCTGGTAAATAAGATGATTACATAAATATTTTTGGCTCTAAAATACCTGTTTCAAACTAGTACAGTAGTTGTCTCATTCAAATTAATCATTTAAAAGAAACATCCTCCTCTGTGCTCTATGTTCTGGAAACTGTAGGCTTGCTTCAGAAAACTTTTTTTTTCCACAGACAAGCTGCAACTAGGTCTCATTGCTTTTGATCTTAGTTACTAAAGGGTAAAAAAAACTTTGTTCTTTTAGCTTTTTGTTTCTAAATTTGCAGCGCTGGAAAGCAACTGTGATGGGCGAAAGGATAGAGCTAGGTGCTACGGAGCTTTGGGGGGAACTATGGCCCTCCAGCTGATGAATGATGCCTCAGAAATAAGCAGATTCACCTGGACAAAGGAAGCATCAATGGCTAATCAGTCAACTGAAAATATTCTTTATATCAAAAACAATGTGATTATTTACAATTCTATGAGCAGCAGATCTGTCTTCATTCTTGGAAATGGAACCCTCAAGATCAGTAACCTCAGCAGAAATGACAGCGGTAAATATACACTTGAGATATTTGATTCCAATGGCAAGAAAAACGGCACTCAGACCCTACATCTATTTGTTCAAGGTAAATCTTACTTTATTTAAGAATTTTTTTCCTAGTAATGAAGATTGATAAAAGCAATGTTTAAACATTTAATATTCTGATACCCTTCCTGTTTTAAGACCTACGGAAACATATTATTCCGTTCAATTTTTTCTATCTATATGTGTCTCTATCAGCTCCTGTGTCTTCTGTGCGTATCATCTCAAAGTGTGTGTCCCAGGGACTGATCAGGGCGTCCTGTCTCTCTGAGGTTGGCGACAGTCCAATGTACTCCTGGAATCTGGATGAGCTCATTCTGGACAGAAATACGGAAAATAGCACCATTATTCTGCGGCAAAACATCTCAGGATACCTGGTCTGCACAGCTAGGAATCACATCAGTAATGTTTCCAAAGGAGAGATGTTATCTGTCTGCCAAGGTCAGTCAAGGAGTAAGTTTTCTTTATAGATAATGTCTTCCTCCCACAGTACTACATTACAAAATCCCCCCAAAAAACAAACAAAAAAAAGAAATTGTTACCCCAGAAGGAGTGCATGCATATGTAGTAGCTGCAGTGTCTAATGTTTAGCCTGGCCATGCTTAGTTAGACAGAGTTTTAACATTCATGTAGTCTGCTATATGCATTCTTCCATATTAGGCATAAAACCCTTGAGCGCTAGAAAGACGACCAGGAACTAAGAGTAAGAGTAGAGTAAGATCTGATCATTTAATGCTCAGAGGCTAACCTAATAGAAAGTTAACAGTTTTTATAATTTTTCTTTAGACTGTTGTTAAACAAGTAATGTGAATTCTGCTCCATTAATCTTTAGTTGTGGATTTTTACTGCTTTTTAGATTGTAGTCACTGTGTCAGGCACTCATAGGTGGTGTGACTTTTGTGGTTTTTAGCTTCCTCAGAGATGGTGGATAGTGCACTTGTTAAAAGCCTGTGTGAACAAGTGGCAAGACATGTCTCTAATGTTGGATCTATGTTTTATCTTAACCGACACTAGACATATTTCCTAGTCCTAGGTTAACCACTAGTTTGCTAAGTCGACACCTAACCACACATTCTATTTGTATTTTCTTTTTTAAACAGATAGCTTGTAACGAATGAACACTTACAGTTTGTCATACTTTAAAGCTTGTATTGTGTTTATTATCAGATACAGGTTTCCCGAGAAAGGAAATAATTGACCAATCTTAGCATTGAATTGAAATCTACCCAACTGTTAAACAGCAGGAAATAATTGGAATTTAAAATGAAACTGTCAATAAGACTGAATTTAATGAACTGACATATTTCCGAGGGGATTGGATGCCTGTACATTTTAAGTGATGAAAATGTGGGAACATTGAGGTCAGCTGCTTGAGTGCTACTTAATATTGTTTCCATACATAAAGCATTGACAGTGTGTGGAAACACACTTGTTCAATAATAGTGTCTGCAGTAAACACACTACAGCAATTAAAATCAACCAGTTTCAGTCATTCAATTCAATTCAATTCAGTTTATTTATATAGCGCCAAATTCACAACACATGTCATCTCAAGGCACTTTACAGTTCAACCAGATCATACAGTCAAATTGATACAAAGTTTTCTATCTAAGGAAAACCAGTTGATTGCATTGACTCATTGACTCAAATACAATCCCCCACACTAAGCATGCTTGTAGCGACAGTGGAGAGGAAAAACTCCCTTTTAACAGGAAGAAACCTCCAGCAGAACCAGGCTCAGTGTGAGCGGCCATCTGCCGAGGCCGACTGGGGTTCAAGGAGACAGAAGCAGAGATACAAAAAGCAGCTGTAAAAGGCGGCCCCGTCCAGGAAACACACAGCCAGGCAGACGAGCTCCAAGGCAGCTCCCATGCCAGAGGACGAAGAGAGCACATCCACTCAGTCAGAGAAACAGGACCACACTGGAAAACAGGCCGATCTCCAACATCTATAAACAAGGGTGTTGATAGAAGCAGCACAGCTGATGTTTCTTTCCAGGATGACGTCACAGCCAAACAGGAACAGACAAGGCATTATGTTGGTTGTGGTTGATGGTTGTGATCAAGTGGAAGAAATAACAGAACAGTCAAAGACAATACTTTCTCCTCCAACCACAAAAAGAAAAAAAAAAATCTGATCAACCTCATGCAGACTTGCTGGTGGCTACTGTTTATGATAAATGAACCCAAAATACCAACATATACAAATAATGGTAACACCTTTGATATAGGGGGGAAGCAAATAGCAAAGAATAAACTGGCCACATCCCATGATGGCTTTGGGGTGTAAAAGTACACAATTTTACAAATAATTCAAAAGATACTGCATGCTCCAAAGTTGACTAGCAAACTCAAAATTAAAACTAACACTTTACCACACAAAACACATGCAAAGGAAAAATTCTGCAAGTAGCAAAATCAACTGCAAGTCAAGAAATGCTGCAAACTAGTGCGACAAGTGCTTTAGACCACTAGGCAGAGATTATTATCAACTCATATGCAGAGACAGTGGTACGAATTAATGTCTGTGGACCAGACCCTCTGCAAAAACACAATCCAGAGGACATCAGGAGTGAAGAACAAAAAGATAAAATTCCTTTCAATAGTTTTCAACACTTAATCTTAGAATCTTGTTTATGTATTTCCTGAGTGCCTGGTCCCAAATGAGATAATACAAGTCTCCCTCAAGTGGTCTGGAGCACAACCATGTGGAGCTAGCAAATTGCTGGTGTTTTTGCTACTTTTCTTGCACATGTTGTTATGTTGGCAGCTGCTCTTTATCTTCCAGGATACAGTTTTTCCCTTTGCATGTGTTTTTTGGGTTTGTCTCATTTTTGTTCTGTTTATTGAGTTTGCAGGACCTTTTGAATTCACTATGAAGTAATGTTTTTACATGGCATTTGCACTCTTTAGTCACTTTGCCCATCCAACACTTTCTAATGATAACACTGGCTTGCAGACAAGGCTGAAGGAATAATGGAAAAGTCAGACCATTACACAACCAGAGGGTGGGATTGGGGTGTATAAGATTTTTGGTTTTGGGTTGATTAGTATAGTTTCCATCTACTCTATTATTACATAGAATTCTTAGAAGTGTTTGACACTTCACTTGTAATTAGTTTTAAAGTCATTTTTTTAAATTTACAGATAAGGGAACTCACTGTGACATTACAGAAGAGGAGTTTGAGTGTTATGGAGCTTTGGGAGGAACTGTCGTCATTCAACTGTTAAACAACACTTCAACAACGCCCAACTACCAATGGAAAAATAAAACAGCAACAATCATAAAGGGTAGAGGGAACAGATTCATCCCAAATTACATTGAGGGGAGATCTCTCTTTCTCCCTGTGTTTGGTACGTTCAGCATCATGAATCTAAGCAGAGCTGATGGTGGTGAATATACCTTGGAAATCTTTGATTCAAATGGAAGGAGAACTGAACAGAGGACTCTTCAGCTAATTGTTCAAGGTAAATGTTTTTTCTCACTGACACACAGATCTTCAGCTAAGTTCTTAGTAATTTCCATAGTATATCAGGTATGTTAGCTCTAATCTGTGCAAGTTTCTGTAAGGACAAATAGATATTTCTCTTTCAGCTCCTGTCTCATCAGTCCAGCTGGTCCCTGAATGTTTGTCTCAGGGACAGATGAAGGTGTCCTGTCTCTCAGAGAAAGGGGACAATCCTCAGTACAGCTGGACATTGGATGGACACAATTTGACAGACTCTGAGCTCCTTTCTGGAAACAATGAAACTAAGGAAATTATCCTGAGGCAGAACATCTCAGGACGTCTGGCCTGCTCAGTTTGGAACCGGTTCAGTTCCCTCTCAAAAGAGGAGACCATATCTACATGTGGTAAGTAGCCATATTGAAAAGAAAATGAGATACCCTGTGAATATTTTAACAGCATAATTGAAACCATGTCTTGTTTTGGCCTCTCCAAGGGTTCATATTTATCAACTGCACTTCCAATGGGACAGAGATATCCAAGTGGGTGTTTGCAAAAACTAACAACCTTTGTGTTGAACCAGCTGCATTCGGTGAGCCAGTTAGTGTAGTTTCCTCCAATAATAATACAATCTTAATTCAAATCTCTGCCGTAAAGATCTGTGTTTTCTTATCTCTCAAACAGACTTGTTGACAGTACTGGCTGTAATACTCCTGGCATTAGTATTTTTCCTAGCTCTCGGAATAGGATTTGTCTGCTTCCAAAAGAAGGGTTATATATACAAAGGTAGTTATCAAAATTCAAAATAAATAAAATCTCTGTTAAATTAGAAGAAAATACCATTTAGTCAGTGGGATTATCTGTAACATGCTTTTTCTCTGTTCTGCAGTGGAGAAAGACAACAGTGAACCAGTTTATGCTGAGGTCCAGGTTGGGCCACAGCAGGATAGGCAAACAGAGGAAAATGCTGAGGACGGGGTGGAGTACAAACGAGTGACATTTACAGAGCATCCTCAGCAGATGGTGTTGACCACAGAAAGTCCTGTATATGCACAAGTCCGTAAAGTTAGATGACCCGTGTAACTTCAATCTACCCTACAAAGACTTTACTACCAAAAACAGATGGACAGAGTTAAGATGGGATCCCAAAGTGTCACAAATTTTAATTTTTCTCTTACTTTTTGGGTCTGCTCAGGTGAAATGGCACCATGGTATTCTAGACTTGAATTTTTATTGGTGCCTTAAGAAGCTTTAGGTGTAGTAGCTTTTAGAAAATGGTTTTGCAAAACATAAGCCCCCTTGGAAATTATTTTCTGGAAGACATACAAGCAGCTGTAAAGGGCACTTTATGGATCATTCTGTGATTTGTATAATTCAAAGACAATCTGTGGTGAGATTACATGTTTTCACTTCTGGAGCATGTTGATCAAAACCTGTAGAGATGGTCTGAAAACAAAATTACAAAATATTTTAGTCCATTTTGCAAAAAAGATGGAAACATCTTCTACGAAGCTAAGTGAACAAATGACTTAAAAGGCAACAAGATATGTATATGGAGTCCATAAGATGACTTGTTTCTGTTATATCAAGATAATTATATTTCAAGATAAAGCTAGGCTCGAACTAGAGGTAAAAGTGCATCCTGGCTTTACAAAGTCCAAGCCAGGCTCCACATCAAGCCAGCTATATCTAATCCAGCTAATTGCAGGTCTGCCGTTTTCTTCAGGAGGTGAATCATAGATTCCTTGATTCAGCAAACAATAGCAGATGGACTAAATGCCTAAACAGCATTAAATACATACTCCATTACCACTTCCCTTAACTAAAACATCACAATTTAAAGATTTATAACAAATTATTTAAAGAAAAACAAACACTGGAAGCCAACATGGTAACAAATGCAGATCATAAAGTTAATACATTTGTAGTGGGTTTTTTGTCCTGTTATTCAGTTTCTCTGTGGTGTTGTGGTTTAAATCTTTGCCTTTAAAGTGGTAGACTTGGGACTGAACTCTGGATACTTCATGAAAAGCATCTAGTGTTAAAATCTTCATTTAACATCAGATATATTTTACCACTTTTTATGTTACAACATTCAAAATCACCTTCATTTGCAACAGGGGGGTTATATCTTAATACATTTAACATTAGGGAATCCTGTATTATACTGTATATAAAAAAGTAATACACCTGTTCCACATTTTCCTTTGTGATGAGCAGTCATATCCATGTTATGTTGACTGATGTACAGTAGTTGATTCTTTGGTGACGGGAAAGCTTATGAAGATGTGCATCTTATCCTTATAATTTTATCGGGGGCAAATACTTTCTCAAGACACTATAATTCAAACCCTACTAAAGTTCCCTGACATTAATCACTTTATATGTTTTCAATATGAAAGTAGTGCTACTCACCTTTCTCTATGTCTTCATCAAAGAGTTTATATTTTATTACAAATATCTGTATTTCAAACCATCATACAAGATTCTAAATAAATTCCTGCTTGTTGGGGATTCATTTCCAATGGTTTGGCCCATAAGTGATTAAAGCCTGGTGTTTCCTAGATAAAGTTATTTAGATCCCAATGCATGAACATGCAGATATAGCAAGCGGTAAAAACAAGAGACATTTCCCTTATAACCTTAAAACATGAGCTAGAATGTCAGTGCACTGATCCCATATGAGTGGGGAAGAGTAAAACCTTTAGAAGGAAAGGAGCAAATCTAAACAGTTAAAAACAATCGCCTCATCCAAACAAACCGCATTATTTGGAATGGATGAAACTGGATGCAAAAACACCCCTATTCTTATTAATCTATAGCATTCTTTCTTGTTTTTTTTCTTCAGCCTTAAATCTGTCAGCTCTTTTCTTTTCACTCAACTGTTTGGGTTACTTTAACAGGGTATCTTAATGTTATGAGCTACCTCATCAATCTGAATGTACAGTCACCTTCTCACTAATGGTTTTAAAGAAACCTTATTAATTGCTGTTGCTGTGCATGTTTTCATCTTTTATGTTGAAATAAAAAACTTAATATGTCAATGACACAGAGAAAGTGGGTTTAAGTGGTGAAGATTCTCAGTCATCCATCATTTGAAATGACTATAGTAATTCAGCATTCTATTATGCAAATAACACCCTAAGCTTAATCAATTAAAAAATAATGAAAAATAATGAGACAAATACTAATTTATTAGCAGGTGTAACGTACAGGATATTGGACCCAGGAAACAGCTCAGACAGGTCAGTGGAATGCAACAGATTTTATTTATAATGGGAGGCACAGGGAGTGTGCAGGCGGCTCTCAGTCAGGAAATACCCTGTGGCGGAGACAACAGGTTAGTGATCAGCAATAAGAGAACTAGAGAGGGACTGAGGCTGGATCACTAACCTGTTACTGGGTCTCAGAGTGGGCGACTGGCACCGTTTTGGGTCCGGGGCAGGAGTCCGTACGATGAAGGGGCTTGTGGAAGCGGTGGCCGTTGAGCGGCGGATGGTTAGCTGAGGACTGAGGCCGATGAGCTCCAGAGAAAGTTCGTTTATAGATTCAGAGATGGGGTCCAAGCGAAGGTACAGAGGGGCAATCCAGAAGAGAGGTCCAGGTCCGTTCATGGGTCCGTTTACTGGCAGGTTGAGAGAAGCAAAATAGTTAGGCAGACTCGGTTACTCACTGACTGAGTGGGGTTCAGGCTCAGAGGCAGGCAATCCAAGGCAGAACTGATGCAAGGGTTCAGAGGCGGATCCGGTTTGGATTCAGGGCAGGTAGTCAGGATCAGATAAGGGGTCAGGCAGGCTCAGTGAAAAAAGGCAAAAACAGGTCAGGTAACAAGTAGGCAGGCAAAATATAGAAAAGCTGGAAGGTACTCAATAGTTGGTTTGAGACGATCTGGCACTGGGAACAGATCCAAATGAGCTATATATAGAGGTGGGACCAATTAGTGATAATCGCAGGCAGGGTGGAGTGAGCAGGTGTGAGGAGTTGGAGATTAAGCCAGCACCAGTGCCAAGATCGTCACAGCAGGACCCAGTTTAATAAATTTTTTTAAATATGTAAATCATACATTTTGATGCATTTATTCTGACTTGAAGAGCAGTCAGGAGCTAGGGGAAAGCCCCCAGGGTATAAATGCAGCAGACGCTCTGACGGGCTGATTTTTCAAGCTGAATGTTAGTGGATCAAGCATAATTAGACCTTTAGGCTACTATGGTTGGATTAGCTAGCATCTTTAGCTCCAAACTACCTCATTGCCAGCCCCATGGTAGCAGCCATTTTGTGAGTCATCTAACCCATTTGTTCTAGCTGGCCCATCCGGTACCTGATGTTCTGCACCATCTGAACTAAAACATTCTGTCCAGTGTCACTATTTTAATGCATTCCTGAGTGATTTTCATTTTTCACTGTAATACTGAATGAAATCTTAATGTTTATCGTATGAAATCGTATTGTTATTCACATTTATCTACTGCTATTTTAAAGGACACCCTAAATGCATTAAACCTTAAAACTTGAACATACCTCAGAAATTATTTAATGGACTCTTAAAACCTTTTTCCCCTTTTATATTTGCTTTTATTTACTTGTGCTTATTTTAAGTAGTGTTTTGTGATTGCATTATTTTAAGTAGTGTTTTCTGAATGCATAGTCATTAGATACAATAATACTGTGATAGAGATTATTGGCTAACAAAGGCACCATTTTAACCCATTATCTTTGTGGTTATTCTATACAGTGAACAGTTTATCACTCAGGCCAGATCCCCCTTCCTTTGGTTAACATTTGAATGAACAGAGACAGATTTATTTGGTTGGTGATTGATAACTCTGCTGATAGCCATAGTCTAAAATACTAAATTGGTGGAGGCAACTGGATTTTAAACAGCCAGTACAGAAGTCCAACCTTATGTAAAAGACTAGAACCCTGGTAGGTGAGCAAATTACAGTTATAATCATTTAACTCATAATCATGAATTGGTTTTACCCTCAGTTTAAATATTCTATTAATTAACTATAACTTACAGCGATGAATATTTAATATATTCATAATCAGATTTCAGTCCTGAGGCCTATTTCATGAAAGATAAGGGATTAAGTCAGGATTTTCCAGATATCCTGAGCCCTTTACCAGGAAGCCAGCTCAACATAGCTGGATTACTCCCAGTCTAACCAGTTTATCCAATCCACCACAATGGTAATCAGGATAAGCCGTACCACGAATCTGGTTATCACCTTGCTGACTCAATCAAGCTTGAACTGTTTATGAATCTGTGAACGCACACATATAAATGGGCATGCTCAAGGTAGAAAACCAATCACAACCATGAGCGCAGAAGGGAGACTGCTGAATTTCTCATGTGGGGAACAAAAAAACATAGTTTACAGAAATAGGAAGCGAAAAAACAAGTATCAGTTAAACAACAAACATGGTGGCGGCATGACAGAGGAGCCAAATAGAGTGAAAAGGATAGCTGACTGCATAAATTAGGGAGTTACACATCAGTGTAATTTAACACAGCCAACAACCCACTAACTTTACTACATCTTAATCGCATTCCCCTCTGGAGTGAAGAGGACTTGGGAGCATATAAAAATAAACACAAAAACTTAATTGCATCTGGTTTGTTGGACTTTTTAATTTGCTACAACAAAGCTGGAAGCTGATGCCACGATTGCATCATATTAATACAAGAAGTGAATCATCTGAGTAAAATCATCCCGATACCTGAGCTGTGTCAGAACTTTTTACTTTTAAGCTGGTGCTGTCTATTAATACCCCATTAGAGTAGCTGCAGTCAACATCTAAAATTCTCATCTATACTGTCACAGCAAAAAAAACAAAACTCTTCCTCACCATTGTGGGCAGTCTTCCCCTTTTTTTTCCTTCAAGCCTGTGTCCTTTCCCAGAGGCCTGGAAACTTGAAGGTTCTGTGCAGTATCTTTGCTGTTCCTAGAACTGCACTCTTCTGGACTGAGATGTCTGATGTATTTCCAGGGATCTGCTATAACCACTCTTCAAGTTTGGGGATCACTGCCCTGAGTGCCACAATTACCACGGGCAGACATGGGCAATGTGGAGTCAACAAGTCATCTCCATGTCNTATATATATATATATATATATATATATAAACATTGAATGTGGAAAAAAACATGAAACTATCCAAAATTATTTATTTCTTAGTAATTGAGATTCGTTTTTGAGTTGCCATTGTTTATGATCAAATGTCAATGATGGAACCAGGAGCGACTACCCCCTGATGTCACCTTCATGCTACAGAGGTTCCTTAAGCAGCTGACCGATATTCAACTCTCTCTTGTATGTGGCTCTAACGGCTTTGATAAGAGAGATATACGCCGGATTTCAGCTCAGGCTACGTCCATGGCCGCTAAATCCTCTCCGGAGAAGAGTCAGTGTTCGCTGGTCGAACCAGACTTCACCCTTGCCAACCAGTCATAGGGAGCCGAACGTAGTGCCTTTCTCTTCCTGTGGCACAAACCAAGTTGAACCAGTTGTGAATCTGCCTGGTGAAGCAGATGAGGAACTACACAGTTTTGTATAACTGAGCCCACATTTGCCGCCCACAGAAAAGCCGGGCGCAATTGCTGTTGGCCCCTGGCAATCTGTTTCGCCAGATCTGTTTCTGGTTTTTTCAACAGAATAACTCAAATCTCTACAAGAGCTGTCTGTTGAATGAGCAGACTAAGATTTTGAGCCAAATCAAGACAGACTTCTTCCCCCTTTTTCCGAGTGGGACCGATTAGAACCAAAGCCCTACAAACCACTTTTCCCCTCTGTTCATCGGATGCTTAATAGATACTCTGTTTAGCGAGAAATGTGGTGTAATGCTATGTGGCGCCTTTTATTTTGAATTAGGTAGAATTTATTTTTTTAAGTGTGTTTGTGTTATATCTGAAAGAAGCTTTCTGTTTCAACTGTTGATGTTTCTTAAGTAAGAGTTTTGAACTGAATGCTAATGCTCATTGAGCCTGACTGAACTATCCATGCTGTTTGTTACTGTCTGCTTAATTCCTCCTTTTCCATATGTTTCAAGTGTAAAGCTCCAATTATGAGTGAAGTCTCAGTGCATACAAAATTTCTGCAGGGAGCTTCTGCAGGAAAATGTGGAACTACACGGACGGATGTGCGTGGAAAACATGGCGAGCGATCTGCAACTCCTCCTGGGGAGGGTTCGCAAATGTAAACATCTAGAGACATCCTGTGATTTAGCTCAAAAATATCACCACTATCAACATATTTTGGTAAAACTCCAGGAAATTAATAGCTGTCGCTCTCGAACGGCATGAAGAGGCTTTGATAAAGAAGCAAATGGCTGTGTTTTCTATTTCCTTGTTTAGTGTGGTGTTGTCAGCTTGCTGTTTTTGAAGAGCAGTCAGGAGCTAGGGGAAAGCCCCCAGGGTATAAATGCAGCAGACGCTCTGACGGGCTGATTTTTCAAGCTGAATGTTAGTGGATCAAGCATAATTAGACCTTTAGGCTACTATGGTTGGATTAGCTAGCATCTTTAGCTCCAAACTACCTCATTGCCAGCCCCATGGTAGCAGCCATTTTGTGAGTCATCTAACCCATTTGTTCTAGCTGGCCCATCCGGTACCTGATGTTCTGCACCATCTGAACTAAAACATTCTGTCCAGTGTCACTATTTTAATGCATTCCTGAGTGATTTTCATTTTTCACTGTAAGACTGAATGAAATCTTATTGTTTTGATAGCATTAAATATCTGCATCAGGGTTATTCACATTTATCTACTGCTATTTTAAAGGACACCCTAAATGCATTAAACCTTAAAACTTGAACATACCTCAGAAATTATTTAATGGACTCTTAAAACCTTTTTCCCCTTTTATATTTGCTTTTATTTACTTGTGCTTATTTTAAGTAGTGTTTTGTGTTTGCATAGTCATTAGATACAATAATACTGTGATAGAGATTATTGGCTAACAAAGGCACCATTTTAACCCATTATCTTTGTGGTTATTCTATACAGTGAACAGTTTATCACTCAGGCCAGATCCCCCT